CCCCCCCCCCCCCCCCCTCCTCACACGCACCATATTTGACATGGCAGTTTATTAATTAGGCCACATGCCCCCCTCCCCCAACTTCACAGGTATACCCTTCTCCCTCCTAGTGTAACACAGAGATGATATTTTTCCGAATAACGATGGATTTCTGAATTTTTGGGAGTCTAAAATATTGGCCCACTAGCACTAATAGGTGGCCCCTAAGACCCCACAGCATACATGTATATTTTGACTTTTTCACTATATAAATGGCAGTCCTCATCCCTGGTATCCATAATAAGTAGTAGAAGGAGTAAAATCCTTGATGGGCCACTGTTACATTTGTGATTGATGACATTTAGTCATATGGCTCATATCCTTTACATAGTTGCCATTGTTATCTGTGCCAATCCTTCTTCTACCACTTTGTGTTCTCTTCCTGGAATATACAGAATCCTGATCCTGGTAAGATGGGGGTGAATACATGGGATGAATCTGTCCACATATTATGATTCAAATGTAGAAATGTGTTTATAAAACATGTCTTTATATGTAACAGTGTGTTATGTCACAGTGGTTTAGTTGGACATCTGTGACTGTTTGTTTGAATTGTCATTTATCATAACATCAGTAATTATAATAATATGATTCTGGTGTAAACATATATTTTTTTAAACATCATACAGTGGATTCATTTGTGTAACCATATTTTTTATACAACAGTGTATGCAGTGGATACAGTAACATTCAAGATGGCAATAGAAAGGTCCTTGTTAGGCTACCAGATCACCAACTTTGTAAGCATGTACATAGGCTACGCCTTTTACATGATGAACAGAAAAGCTTTCAGTTTTGCACTGCCAGTAATGATAAAGCAAGAGGGACTATCCAAAAGTGATTTAGGTAATAATTAAATACTGCAGAATGATATTAATTGAATTAAGTCAGTAGGGGCTGCATATTCATATGATGCAATCATAGATTTAATACATATTTTATTATTAATTATTGTTAATTTTGATTAAAATGTTTATTTAAATGTATACCAGCATATTGTTGATATTTACTTTATTTTATAATTTTGTTATAGATCAGTTTGTCCCCAGACAACACGTTATATTTTCTACTTTGAGTTACTTTCCATGATAACAAAATTTGTATATACTAGTTATTACTTCTTTTAAATAGAAACTTATACTGATAATTTTTTTATCTTTTTTTGTGCGTAAATCCAGGTATGGTTCTAAGCAGTAATTATGTAGCCTACACAATTAGTAAGTTTCTGGCAGGTGTGCTGTCTGACAGAATCCCACCCAATATTCTGTTCTCTGTGGGTTTGTTCTTCTCAGGTGTGGCTGTCACCATATTTTCAGGTAAGACTTCTCTTCATGGTGTTAGCTTTAATCATTGAATTATGTTAGTTGTTTGTATTTTTATAATTTTAGTGAAGTACAAACCCTTTTGGGTTTCTTTATTTTGTATTGATCATTTTATTTGATAGAACATTTTCAGATAATGCAACTTTTGTTGCACAAATATCCACATATCTGATGTCATTAAAAGAAGCATCTGTTATGAGATATTATTGCTTTATTTTGAGCCTCCTTTTGTGTAAAACTATAGTAAAGAGATGCAAATTAATTTTTTTGAATTTATTTTCAGAGACATCACAAGTATGGCTGTTTGTTGGAATTTGGTTTATAAATGGCCTGTCTCAGGGTGCAGGATGGCCCTCTTGTGTAAAAGTACTCAAACATGTGAGTCTTTTACTAATTGTGTGGAATCCAATTTATTTAAAACACAGGTGGATTCTGGGGTACAGTCCAAGCAAAACTATTAATGCTGCTTACGTTGCTGTGATTTAGACCAACAGCAGATATATTCTAATTTTTGTCAGTCGTTCAGATAATTAACCAAATTAACACTGCTTTGATGCTTTTAATATTTTAATGATTTTAAAAACCGTGCACTTTTGTAATTATTATAAGTAGATATGAAAAAATCGTGAAAAAATTCAAATATAGAAAAAAAAGTGAAATGTTTTCAAGTTATTACCAGTAATTACCCAGTGTTATGTGGTGATTGTATCAGTGGTTCCATTAACCCATGTTGTCACTGTAAATGTCCCAGTGGTTCAGCCCAGCAACATTTGGCACTTGGTGGGGAGTGCTGTCAACCTCCATGAATGCAGCTAACAGCTTGGGGCCTTTTATAGCCATGTTTATCATGCTCCATTATGACTGGAGGTTTTATATGAAACTACAAGGTACAGTGTACAGCACTTGGTAAACATATATGTAATATGGCAACTGTTAAAATTGCTGTTTCTTTATGTGCAGATGATTATTTTGAATGATTATAATTTAAAATTTTAAAAATATTTTTGAAATAAATAATATATTGTGCCATTTTCATTTTACATACCCAGATATTGGCATATCTGTTCAAATACCAGTATTTCCATCTTACAAGGCTATAATCATGTTTTTATTGAACTGCAGGTGTAACAACATGTATATTTGCCATGATTGTTTTCTTTGCCATCAAGAACTCCCCTAAATCAGTTGGGATAGACTATGATATACAGGGTGCTGCCTCACAGAAGAAAGATGATGACAAAAAATCTAAAGGAGGTACAAAACATTAACTAAAAAAGCTTTAATAATCGAAAAAGACTTAGGTCTAGTTGTTAGCTAACACAAACACATTGCATAAAGGTTACAGAGCTGTTATCTATAAGATAAAATTGTGAACGTTTCTTTTAAAAATAGCAGATTCAGTTTACTATCAATGTATGTGTTGCTGTATCATCAGACATGCTGAAACTGTCGGTCCGATCGGTCATGACCAGGAAATTTTGTCTGGACTGGTAAAAAATTGGACATGGTCAGTCCAAAGGACCGATAAGAGTTTTATGAGCAGCAATTTTGAATTTACATACTTCACTTATAAAATTATATTAAACCCAAAGTGTTTTTTCCCTTCCATTTCAAGCCTATATCACATTCAGTAACAAAGTGGGCTACACTTATCGTACTAGTAATATCAGTCTCAAACGAATAGCAAATTTTTCATTACTGCCGATCCAAATGTCCGGTCATTCTGAAAAGTTTTCAGCATGTCTGTATCATTATACTGAACAAAATCTTTGAAATGTGAAAATTTGAATAATCTGAACTTAAAATATATATTGAATAACACATAATGAATTCTATATTTCAGATTCTTTAGAAAATAGCACAGCAACATGGAGAGATCTCATAGCCAGTCCATTTCTCTGGGTTATCTCACTTCTAATATTGTTAATATTGGGGACCACTACAGCTGTGATAGACTGGGGTCAGTTATATCTCATACAAGACAGGGAACAGAGCAACTATGTAGGTGAGTGGAGAATGGCCTTGTCTACATGCAAATGTGAAGGAAAGTTGCAGCTTCTCGTGTTATTGGCTGTACTAGTACACCTTCAACTTTATGTATTTCTGTATTACCCAGAATGTTTAAGCAAAATGGCCAAAATCAGCTCCCCCCCAAAAAAAAAAATAAATAAAATAAATAAATAAATAAATAAATAGATAAAAATAATAATAATGCTTTAAGTAGATTTATACTCGATGATCTCAGCTCAACTAAATGATGATCCTGTAAGGTTTGTTATTGGTACCAGTGAACTCCTTAAGGTTTAGAGCCATGTTCAAAGATGGTCTAACTTAGAACTTAGATCTAGACTAGCATGTGTCAAAAGACAACCAGATAGCTCATACAACCACAACTGATTAGTGCATGTTAAAGTGTCAACATTAGTACCACATTCCAGTCTGATCAGGGCTTTGGGTAGTGGCTAATGGCTCTCAAAAAAGAATTCACAAGATGCAGAAGTGAGCATAAGTTTTGAAACATGATTAGTGATACATGTAAACCCCAAGATGTATTCTCTGGCTGCTGAATACGTCATACTTGTCACAGCATTGTCCACCTCTGCTAGCAATTGAGACCTCTCAGAATTCGGCAATAAATGGCCATATGCTTGTATTTTTAACTTTTGAAAATCGTGGTGGTGAAATCTGAACTTATTTGATCTGTTGTTAATGTCTTAGCATTGTAGTGGAGTATCAGAATGTAATATTATAATAACTGAAAAATGTTATTTTTTTGCTTGTCTTTAGGCAGCACATTCATGAGTCTCTATGGAATAGGTGGTACAATTGGAAGTATTATACCAAGTTACATTGCTGATAGACTAGTTGCCAAGGTAAGACCCACCACCATTTTCCTTCAAATCCTTAAAAATCAATTGTTGTCAAGATATGCAGGGTTTTTGTTAATTTATTGAATAACTCAAGTAGGGTTTTATGTGGTAGTACTGATGATGTGATTCTTCAAAGAAAAATTATGTGGGACACTTTTACAGCTTTGGTCATCAGTAAAATCTCTGTTTGATATGTCAGGGTGCACAACATACATTATCATGTCTTTCCATGACTCAAATATTATGGTAGGCCTTAACTCATGCTAAAACATATGGAGGGCAAACTTAGCCAAATGGGACTGCTCCAGCACTTGCCAAAGCAGAATTTGCACCAACACTGGCAAGTTGTTCAAAATTTCAGAATTTGTTTTGCACTTTGTAGTCTGCATTAAATTGTATGATCATTATATGTCAGAATTCATGATTTGATATAAATAAATGTATAGCCTGCAATTTTAGTGTACGAGTTATATTTTCAGCAAAGTCCTGGTTCTACCTTCAACCCTAGATTGACTGTGGTGCTGGCGCTGAGTGCTCTCACTGTTAATTTCTTACACCTGTTTACCTACTGTGTCACATCAGAGAGTTCACAGGTAGGAATTAGTTCACCTTTGTTTGTATTTAATCTTAGAAATCAATGTTGTAAAAAATCTAAATCTTGCATAATTAAACAAATTTTATAAATTTTACAAGTTTGCAAGTTTAGAAATTAAGTTATAGTACTTTAATCAGAGTGTCAGTGTACAATTTTATGTAGCAATAAATCTCTTTTCTTAAATGCAAATTGCTGCTGAAAGATTATTAAAGAAAACAATAAGCCTTTGTACCTGTAAGTATTGCATATCCTAACATCTGCTAAGAGGCATAAGACATAATATAAATTTATTATTAGGCAAAAGAAATAGTTTTTAGAATATTTCAAATTATATGATTTTTTATCAGGCTAAGATCTTTTTTTTTTTTTTTTTTTTAATCTTACCAGCTGTGGATCAGCGTGCTGGCCTTTGGCCTAGGGTTTGGACTGTACGGCAGTGTGGCCCTCCTGGGGGTGGTAGCTGTGGAGTGTGCCCCACCCCACCTCAGCGGGACATCACATGCTCTGTATGGGATTGGATCTAATGGTCAGTAGGCTTGATATGAACTCTTTACATGTATTGTATATAACAAACTCTTTAAAATGTTTTATTAAAAACTAAACCATTTGAATATGCGCGACATTACATTTATTTAAATAGTGATGTTGAACAAATAGTGTTTTAACAATTTATGTATAACCTGTGTTAACTTTCTTTAGATTTATCTATTCGTTGATTCTGAAAACCCGATTTATAAAAAAAATATTTTGGAACCTCTCTGCTTGCTGTTCAACTTTCTCACATTCAATCATTGTGTTATAAGAGCTCTATATATCTTTTCCAGTTGGCTCTGTGCTTGCTGGCTTACCTCTTAGCTACGTGGCCAAGTATTACAACTGGTCAGGAGTATTTGTTGTGCTGGAGGCAGTTGGGATACTCACAGTGGCCATATTGGTGGCTTGTAGGTGGATGAGCCATGTCATAGCAGTAGACAAGAAAAAGAAGACGGACTGAGGGTGGTGGGTTGGTCTGAACTTGACAGGTATTTCTTTAAGTATTTTCCACATTTCTTCAGTGATGATGTTGATTTACCCCTTGTATTATGAAGCATTTAACCTTGATTTGCAAAGTCAAACCTTGTATATTTTAAGTCATTTTGAAACTGCAGGGAGTGTACTTTATTTTTTAATTTTTTAAATTAAAATAGCATTTTTGTTATAGTTTGAATGTCTGTCTTATTCATTTGCCAGCTAAGATAGGTCAGTTGATAGTGAATTTGCTCTTGCAACCCCTAAAGTAAGAAAGGAAGGATTTCATTGCTTGTCTGTGTCTAATAAAGATCAGATCTTTTAAACTATGATGACGGCTGTTAAATACCCTGTAAAATGGTGCTTATGTGTTTTTTAATTGCATTTGCTTATATCTTTGTTGAAATACATCATATTTATTGACTTATGACTTTTGTTCATAATGTCCCATTTTAATGAAACAAAACATAACAATGACAAAAAAAATTGTGTATTGTTTGATCACTGTTTTATATTAATTGGCTAATTTTTGAGATTTTTATAACTATGTAAGCATTTGGGATTCATATTGTATTGTACTTTCATCCACATATTTGCTGTATGTATGGTTAATCATCAATTATGATCATTGCATTGTACATACATGTGAATGGCCATATATTTGAGGCTTCCTTTCACTGTAACCTTATATGTCAGGTCTGTACTGCCATTTTTAGTTTAACATATGCAGACAGTGATAAAATCACACTTTTTTTATATTTATGCAGGGTGATAGGCTCTTTCTACATCAAGCAGTACACTTAAGCAATACAATCTGTATCGGTACACTGTGAAAGGTCCTTACATGTAAATTATGCCACTGCCAGGGGATTTCACTCCCTCTCACAAGTTCTCCACAAATGTGCTATTGGCTTTATAGTCAAGATAAATAATTGACCATGTCAAGCTCGGAAGCTCAATTTCATGTGTCTTGTCATAAATTCCCAGGGTGTCAAGGTGTACCGGTACAGACTTCATTGCTAAAGTGTACTGCTGGATGTGAAAAGGGCTTTACTGAGCATGTACGGTTATTGGTTACAAGAAATGAATGTATTATTATTATTATTATTATTATTATTATTTTAAGCTTCTTAATTTTTGTGATTTGGATCACAGTTTTTTGTTCAAATGGAATGTAAGCACCAATTTTAGTCTTAAAGTCAGATGAAGATGATAAACCTATATTGCCAAGACATGAGCTTCCTTTGTTAGCACTGAGTATTTACAGGTTTTTGTTGGTTAAAACAACTTACTATAAGTTGAATCTCCATTATTTATTGAATGAGTTCTCTTCATTCTTATATGTAAATGTATTGCTACTAAGGTTTTTTCAGTGCAATAAACCGAAGATCTTCAATGTGCTAGGTGAGATATGAACGCATTCTTCACTTCACTGTGTTATTTTCACATTGAAATCACAATGTCATATTGAATAGAGATAAAGAAATTTTAAAAAAATGATTACCAAGTTTGTTTATGGCTTTCCTTTTTAGATAAAATGAAATCATCAGTGGAGTACAATTAGAGTGTTTAGGTAATTTACCATGCTGTCCTGTTCTTTATAAAACTTGCCTGTCACACAAGGAAGAGATTCTTTTAAACCATTATTTGTAGTCATTTTATTTTACAAGCAGTCCTTGTTCATAAATCAAAACAATCACTTTAAGTAGTGAGCAAAAGAGGAAAGTGTTTAAATTTAAACTACCATGAAAATAATGGATGCTAATTTAAGGGTTCTGTATGGGGAAATGAGCTTAAAAACACATTTCTGGGCTTTAACTGACTAATTGATATTTAAATATTTTTCTTTTCTTGAATAAGCAGACATTTTTACATTTTAATCAGAAAATGCACCTTTTGTGAGATTTTTCTTATTCAACCATCACTACTGGTTACCGAGGCTCTTTTGTATAGGTGGTTGTAAAGATTGACAACAGTGGCAAACCTTCTTCTTAGTCACAATTGTCAGCTTATCCTTAGCTGTTGGGTGTGATATGAATAAAAGTTACAAAAAAGACCAAAACTTAAAAGTGCCATAAAAAATTTAATGTCATCCCAATGTTGGAAAAATGTATAAAATTACAGCACAAAAAAAGTGAATTATGTTTCAAAGGCCCCAAAAATGTTAAAAAACTAAAGAGTTGATTATATAGTAAAATAATATAATATGTAGATGACTATCTGTTATCTGAAGCTTCATTCAGATAAATGTTTACACAAAGTGATTAGGCAACACTTATGCTTATAGCAATTAATTATTGATGATTCTGCTCCTGATCCATCATACTTACCACATTAACAGAGAACAAAAAAGAATTGTAAAACTAAATCTTGGTATGTGGGCTGGAACTTTTTGATAATGTTTTGAAATGCAACTCAGATAAGTTGCTAAAACGAGATTTGTTTCATACTTATCTCTTCTGTAGAATTCTTTTGTTTTGTTTTATATCAGCTTTGATTGTATGTGTTCTACTTTGAGATTTTTTTTTTTTTTTGCTATTGATTAAACAGGTGTTACCTGGTTAAATAAATTATCTTTATCAATTTCTAAATTCAATTAATTTCTGTGGTCTGTGATTTAGTTCTCTTATTTCCATTCCATTGTGAAGAAAATGAAATAAGATCTAACAAACCAGCATTGATGTTGTTACCTCATCCTGGTACGATATGTTTACAGCTGATGGATCCTTTATTATAATCTGCCATGCCATGCCAACAAATGTATCCTGTTCATTGTGATGTTAATCAAAAGGAAGTGGAGACTTATAAGATAGGAGCAGAAAGTAGCATGAAAAAAAAAAGAATTCTGGCTATTTGCTGAAAGTTTTATTTATTTATTTTTCTTAGAAATATGAATGGCCATTACACAAATGTTCTTAGTTTTGAAATACATGCACCTCTAGTGCATAAATTGGTTGCTTTTCATTAAGTTAGATTAGAGCAGATGGACAGGAGGGTTGAGCAGATAAAGTTTCAAGAACTTCAAAATATTTCAATGTACAAAGTTGCAATTTCTGTTTGCTTATTGCAGTTAGGTCAACCCTTCTTTGTCCACCCTGACTTCACAAGTACTAGTAGTCTGATATTATTCTTAGTAAGTTCACTTTTGGCAGCAAAGCATTACATATCTCAAAATTGGGGGTAGGGGGGGAGGACAAAAATGTCTACACTTGCTCTCTGTGGTCTTTTTTGCTTACACAGACCCTTTACAAAGAATGAATGGTTGACCTATTTCCAGGGCAAACGTGATGTGATGTTGATTCTAAATCAGGCATGTGTATGTGCACGTGTAAACCTGATTTTTGTTATAAAATGTCATTTCATCAATTGTGTTATTTCACATTAAAGATCATATAAATTGTCAAGGAGGATAAAAATGATATATATGATTTTAAGTGGTTTCTGTACTATTAAGTGGTGTGAATGTTTTACTGAATGGATGTTTTGTTAATGCACTACAAAAACACTGCTCTATTTTCTATTTCTATTTCTATTTTGATCTAAATCCGTCTTTGCAAACTGATGGCTCTTGTATGCAGGAGGGTTGATATACCTTTTTTTAGGCTTCATTCACATGGAAAGTCTATTTTCTAAATTCTATTTTCTATTCGCGGTATGTCTTCTGATCACGGTCTGTGCCCTGAATATCCCGTGGCGTAGCGCGAGCCAGTTACTTATACAAAGCTGTAATTAATTCTCAGCTGTGCTCGGAGGAGATTCTGATACCTTGACGCATGCGCAGTAGGAAGTTAGCAAGTTAATGGCGACCGCGATTGCTTTGAACTTGGACCTAAATAGGAAAGGTCTCTTATTATGTCCATGCTTTGAAAAATGTGTTTGTCAATTTTGTGCAACAACAAGATGAAGAAGATGAAGAAGCTATACACACGACAGATACGAGTGCAACCGTCATGATCCGATAGCAAGCGTATCAGAATCTCCTCCGAGCACAGCCGAGAATTAATTACAGCTTTGTATAAGTAACTGGCTCGTGCTGCCAGTAATTACGCCGTGGGATATTCAGGGCACAGACCGTGATCAGAAGACATGCCGCGAATAGAAAATAGAATTTAGAAAATAGACTTTCCATGTGAATGAAGCCTTAGCCTCTTGTTAAAACTTTTTATTTCATTTTCATTTTTATGAGAGTGGCATGATACATTTTTTCCAGGCTTATAATATAATCAGGGGCTGACGGAAGCCATCTTCTGGTTCTACCAGAGGATGGTCAGCATTTTTTAAGTTTGTATTGATGGGCATCAAATTTTTTTTTTGGAAAATGGTCTGAAATGGAAGATGGATAAACAAAGATAATTTGGAAGACTGTCGGAAAATATATCTGGATCCATCCCCTCTTAATTGTTTCTTTTTAGATCATACTACGATTTGCCAATACTAAAATATCAGTAAATAATTCAGCAAATTACATAGCTTAATTCAACCTGAAAAACATACATATTTTATGTATCCTCCATCTCAGATTATTACAAATATTAATAGTCCCATTCATATTAAGAAAGCAGACAACAAAGAGCATTGATAATTCCAGACATGTCAGAACAAGGCCACCATATATGTATAACCCTACATCTTAATTACTTTAACAATGTAACAAGTTATTGCCTATATTATGGTCTTAGAATGTCATGTATTAAGCACATGCAAGTCTTCTTTGGTAAAATATAATATACTACAGAATTGCAGACATAAACAAATAGGTTAGGGGATTACGTTTCTAATATGTACTTTAAGTGACACATTAAATTTGCTCTTTGATAAAGATAAACAGCCTCGAAACAAGGGGTTGTATCGAGACTCCTTGCTTGAAATAAGTTAACACGCCATGCATTCAAGTTTTTTTTCCCTTGGGGCAAGTTTTGCATCTTTTATACTTTTCCTTTCTTGAATTTTGCACTTACATTGGTGCTATATCCACACACACACACACACACACACAGATATATTTGATAACCTTATTTTTATTGTCGATGTAATGTACTTTTGGTCTAAATGTTTTTTATGAGGGAGTTTTTTAAAGTTGGTTACTGTGGTGCAAGTAGGGAATGCTAGATGAGTGTTTAAAAAAATTAAAGTATATATTGCAAACAGATTCATTTTGTTAAAAAGTGGATAATATATTATTTGTTACTTGAAAGTTAAAACTTGGTGGAATTTCCTTTTACAGGGGGGTGGTTGGACATTTTCAGGATTATATATAGAATTAATAAGGAAGTTTTGTTGCTGGGGGTTTGTATTTCTCTCTTTTAGATTTGACCCCATAGTTATGTAAGCATCAGCACTTCCTGCATGTACATTCCACCAGTGATTCATAGCTGCATGATCTGAACACCATTATCGATGGGAATTCCCCACAACACTTTTACTTCACGTGGGTCCCTTTAAATAATATTATCTTTCTATTCTCCTGTCATCACTGGACATTGAATGGTTGTTTGGACGCATTATTGCTGGGGCAATTTCCTCCATGTTCGAAAATTCCACAACACTTATGTTACTTGTTATCTTACAAAATGTCTGTAGCAAAATGTTCATTTATCATTTATAGTAGTAATAGTAGTAGTAGTAGTAGTGGTAGTAGTAGTAGTAGTAGTAGTAGTAGTAAAAGTAGTACATGTAGTAATAGTAGTAGTAAAACTTTTAAAAGTAAAAGCATGATAAAGATAACATTTGTCTTCCTCATGGCCCACAACAAGAAAAATATTCTCGAAAATTAAAAGCAATGACAATTTTTTTCATAACCTTAGTCTTTACTTTTTGAGGAAATCTAAGTAGGCTTATATACATCTTCATTAATATGTCTTTTATGATCACCCCCAGAGTCTCATAAAGCTGTACTGCCCAGGGAGAAACCCACTGAGGTCCACTGGGGGACAAGTCTTACTCTGTATCTGAATTCATGAATGGCTATTGACTTTGGATATTTACACGCAACCCTTGTTAAAGAGAACAGAACCTCTGTTTGTGTTGTTTGTAAAAAGTAAGGTGAAACCAGGAAGATATATAATTTATAAACATTAATGTGTTCATGTACCTATGTAATAGCTTTGAACAAAAAAAGATTAATGTGAAGGGTTAAGGCGATTATCTTTTGAACTGCAGGTTTCAGTCTAAAATGTACACAGTGGTAGTGCTGAAGTGATAGTGTAAAAATATACCTATATTAGCAGAGTAAGTAACCTGATTAGATATGTTTGAGTATTGCAGGAAAAGAATTTTGGGGCTTTGTTTGTTCTGTTCTGTTTTCTCCTTTTTCTCTCTGTTTTCATGGTTAAAGTGGAATGTAGCACATTAATACCCCCCCCCCCCCAAAAAAAAAAAAAAAGATGAGTGGGTTCAGAGAGAGAGTCAGAGTGGAGGTCAAGGTACATGTACCAGCCTCCACCCTTATATAAAAAAATAATTATTATAATAAATAATGATAAAAAAATTATAAGATATAAAAGTCAAAAAATGGCCAAAAAGGTTTCTTATCACCTAAGGTATCACCATCCCCTTTTTTTCCTGCAAAATATTCCAACTGTTTGTTATATTTAGAGTTGGAAGTATTTCTGATTTGCCATTTGAACTCTTTGGTGTGCAACTGTCTCTACCATTATGAAAAGCATATTTAACATGTTTCTAAAAATTATTTGAATGTTTTCCAAAAATATTACCAAATTGTCTTACAATACATATTTTTACATGTTATCTATTGTGGCATATTAAAAAGTGCTTCTTAGTTAGATAGTTTGTGGTAGCTTAAAGCATACCAATATCTAAGAAAGCTTGCATGTTTTAATCTGGTGGTTACGGATATTCCCAACAACCACAGAATAAAATAGGGGTACAATGAACATGAAAAGTCATATGTGACTAAGGGCAATTCATCAGATTGACACTTATTGTGTCTTCCATTTTACATTACCTGTCCTGCTAAATATCTGCCATTTTGGGTTTCATGGTTACTGTAGAATCAGATCATATAACAAGAATATTAGTGGTTGAAAAGATTGTGCTAAACTTAA